GTTTTAAAATTGACCATTTGATGGTATAATCCTGATTGGTCAATTTTAAAACACGCTATTTCGTACACAGGGGGATCAAAACGCTGCAATTTATGTTTGGAAGAAAAAATTTGCATTTTGAAAGACATAAACAAAGACAATTTACTCAATAAAAGAAGCGAAATTTTCGGCAAATGTCGTCACAAAAACCGGTTTCGAGTAAACAAGGTCGTTAGCAAAACCTAATGACCCAAGCATGCATTGTTTCACCTAAGCATTGTTTCGCCTACACGCATTCCGCACATTCTTTCGATAGCATAAAAGCAACCTACAATTTCGAAATTATTCACCACCTGATGATTCCTATACGGATGAAACAGACTGTTGTGGTTTTTTGAGCAGAATCAAAGGATGCTTGATCGGAAGAAAGTGAGGAGATGCGTTTGTTAAAATTAATTATTGCTACTCAAGTTTCACGCCTTATTCAAGACGATCTTCAGGCAATTAATTCAGTTTGTGTTTGATTCGTCAGCATCAACGGTCGGTCGCTGACGCGTAGGCTTGTCTTGCGTCATTGGTTTGCATTTGCACGCGCTAAATTTTTCCTTATGACAGCACTTCGCATAAAACTCTGATCGCGTGTTCAGTGAATTGTTCCCTTTCGCTTTCAGGATGCATAACTTCTCTTCCAAACAGAGGCCACATCGTTTTCCACCAGGCGTATACGCAGCAGCTCTTTTCAAGATGGACCACTTGATGTTATAATTTCTTCTACTTTGCTTCAGACTCCAAATATACTTGGAAAGCTTTGTATCAGACGAGTGGTTGTAGAGGTTGAATGACGTTTTGTGGTTCGCGTATCTTTCCTTGAATGGGTTGGCCGTCATTCCAATATATTCTTTTGTATTTCCGTTATCGGTTGTTGTCACTGTGGCTTTATAGACGATGTTGTCTACTTTGCACTTCCCGTCTAGTGGGCATTCATCTGGTTTGTTACAGTTGCATTGGACAGGTTTTTGGGTAGGGTTTCTCTTTAACAGGCGATGGTTATGTCGGGATATAATGGTTTTGACATTCTCCATGCAGGAGTAGCTAACTTTGACTGTGTTGCGGTTAAAGACCTTATGAAGCGGGTTAGTAGAAGGGAAATGTTTATCAATCAATTGTAGGAAATTTCGGCCAACGTTAGTGCGAACAGTTTTACTGAAGGGAGGATTAAACCAAATGATGTTTCTACGACGTCTTCGGTTGGTAGATGGCAAACTGGAGGAACTATCACAGGCCGAGTATTGCAGAGGTACATCGTAGTTGCTGCGCTTAAGCGCATCTTCGTAAAATGGTGCAGCAGAATCAAAGGATGCTTGATCGGAAGAAAGTGAGGAGATGCGTTTGTTAATTGAGGAAGGGATATGGTTAATGATAGAAGGTGGGTGGTTAGATCTATTGTCGACGTAGAGTGGGTCATTGTTTGGTTTCCTAAAAGGTGAAAATGTTTCGTTTTTCAAGTCCAATGTGAGATCTAGGAAGTTGACAACATGATAGTTCACCTCTGCTGTTATCTTGAAACCAATGTTATTAAAGATAGCGTGTAGTTCTTTCCTCGCTTTATCGGCTGATCTGGCTCGTTTAGCTTTCAAAATTGCCAACCCATCATCTCTGTACAGACCAACTTGATTCTTTCCGAACTTCCCCTCAAGTTTACTTAGGATGAATAATCCGACTAGTTCGCAAATTTCTGCCCCATCGTAGCTGCCCATTGTAACATCGAACATTGTTTCGTTATTTCTTTTAACCCATGTTTTATCTTGGTGAAAAAGTAAGGACTTGTGTGCGTGTTTGATGACAGCTACATGATCATCAGAGATTGGTGTAATGGCTTTGGCCCAGCTAATAACTTTGTCGAGGAGCTCTTCGGTAATTGAAGGATAAAAATCAACAATGTCAAATGACAGGAACATGTGGTTAGGTTTATTATTAACAGATTTGAACCAATCGATGACAGAATAGGAATTTTTCCATTGATTCACGATGATGGAAGATTTAATGTGATTGTTAATATTGTCAAGAATGACTTTGCTGACTTTTCCCAGCTCGCTCTTTGCAGGATTAATGAGACGAAATTTGGGGTTGTTTTGAAAGTTTTCTTTGTGATCCTTCAGGGTTACATACGCATTTCTTTCAGCCATGATATCAATTCGGTTTCCGATAGAAAGACTGTTAGTTATGTCTTTTAGTTCTTGGTTGATGGTATCGGTAACGCCTTCATTTCCACTGAGCTTGTAACTTTTTGTAATATTGTCGGTAAGTGTTTTTCTGTAATTTTCTGGAGAAGTTTCGTAAACATTACTAGATTTATCAGCGAAGACAACGACTTTTTGGGATGAATTGATGTTCTTTATATCTTCCTGAACTTTGCTTAGAAATGGATCGGCCACGTTTCTGAAACGGATATTTGAGGTTAATTTGACAAGGTCGTCCTCAAATGCCTTCATCTCTCTGATTGGTGGAGCATAATTCTTTGATGGTAATCCGTAATTGTTTTCTGAACTTGTAACTTCGTTATTTCCCAAAAAGAAATGGGCTTTCCATCTCATGCGCTGAACAACACTTTCGGCTTTTTCAATCAAACGTTTGCGGTAATGATCTTTCGTTGGTAAACCGATATTCTTTAACGAATAGTTGAACTGAATTCTATGCATTTTAAGATATTTCAACGGATATCTACACGAGCGAGAGTGCACAACTGAGAATCAGGTGCAATTATAATTTGTTTTGTTGTAGTAGATAATAAAGTGCTCAACACTAATACAAAAGTAGAGCAAGATATATTTATATCTTAAAATTAATTATTGCTACTCAAGTTTCACGCCTTATTCAAGACGATCTTCAGGCAATTAATTCAGTTTGTGTTTGATTCGTCACATGACGACCCGCACGTTTTGAAAAACAGCGGGATCTGCAAACTGAGTTTGCAACTTCAGGAAACGAGCAACGCTAATCACATTATTAATTACCGCTATAAGATGTCATCAATCCAGGTTCAGTTGCTTAAACGCAGTGTGAAACCAAGCAAGTAATAAGTTAATTTTCTGTTATGCATTAAAATAAAAGTGTACAAATATGTCAGGATGATATTTACGATGCTGACTGTTGACAAGTCACCTATAGTCAGGCTATGCATAATGTGAAATAAGGCTGCGTGTAATAATACTGATCGAGCATGAGTTGTAAAACAAAACGTTCTTGATATCTTAGAGATCGAATAGCGTGAATAATATTCAACCTAGATTTTGTTTACGTTCAAAGTATGGCGTGATAATTCCATATCGAAACGTCGAAACCTATTTTCCGTCTTTATAGATCTTGGCAGTATAAATAGTGCGGCGGCTCCAATGGCTTATACACTTATACAGCTTTTGCCAAGGCGCTAGTGCGCAAATGTATCTGGACCAAACGTTTTTACCGTTTTCACCAAGATATACAGTATATCTACATATTATTCCAAAAACAATAGCTGCATTGACAGCATTGTCTTAGCTATTTTACGGAATGTACGCCCGCGCCTGCCGGGTATTAAATAATATAAGACTCCTTTTAAGCTTCCACTGGTTAAGAAAAGATGGGACATCTTCATAACCTGTCAGCAAAAGCCAAAAGATGGGACATCTTTCTGACACAAGAGTTTTCACTAAAAGTATTCTAGATATTATTCCAAAAACTGTAGCACTAGCTGCACCGCCTTACGCTGACTTAGCGCCTTGTAAATAATAAAATAAGACTCCTTTTAAGCTTCCACTGGTTAAGAAAAGATGGGACATCTTCATAACCTGTCAGCAAAAGATGGGACATCTTTCTGACACAAGAGTTTTCACTAAAAGTATTCT